ATGTAAAGATAATTGTCATACTGTATTGCAGCTTTTAATATCCGTTTATTGCGCTGGTGTGTTCAGTCTTCAGTGGGCAGGACACCCGTGTAAGCTGGGTCGGAGGTTCGACCAAACGTGTTCGCTCCTCCATAGCCCCTTAAAGCGCTCATCTAGACGCTGTTTGAAAGCAGCGTCGGTTGTCTCCTCTAACAAGGTCGCTGGAGGGGAATTTCAAAGCCTGCCCTGCGTGCGTTTCTCTGTCCGTAAGGCAAAATGCTGCAACTCCAAGTCCATATCACCTCTCAGGATCTTCCTTAAACATAACAATCCTTTACACGAAGACCTAACTTCTTGGTTCATATATATTGAATCAGAAACGCACTAAAAGTAAATAAGGCCTCATCCTCGAGTTAACTGGAACTTTGGCTTCCAACTACTCCCTCACAAGCTATCAGGGCATATTGAGGCAGGGACGAGCGTATTCATCCTGTCACTGCACTTTATTTCAATTATTGCCTCGGCAGATAGAATAAAAGAACCGGACAAGGTGAAACAGAATTCAACTATGGACGAATCAATAGATTGAATCTTTAGGGCTATCATTCACGAAACGTGCGGGATGAATCGACTGTGAAGTACAATCGGTATCATGCCGAAGCCTTATGATGAAAAACTTAACAAGGAAACTTATCAACTATGTTCCCAAAACAAAGATTTTAAAGTTCTCATGCCACATTTGGCTAAGTCACGGGGACCAATTGTGTTGGATAACAAAAATCACCGGAAGCACAACAAAACTCCATGAGTCCATTGAAGTTTCAAAGTAATGTACAGATTGGTTGCACATCAGCCGAATACTTTCGACTATCGGTAGACGACTTCACTACAAACGTCCGCAGTTTGTCTATCGAATCCCGATAATGAGTAGAAAATCTGAATGAATATATTCAGAGACTGCAATATCATGGCTGACGGAAGACGAAACCTTCAGCATCGTTCATCAATAAGAGACGTTTTTGGCCGTTGCTCTTTGAACAATATTTTGTCCTTCACGCTTAAGAACAGTAAGTAACGTTTGTGAACTCTCTAGGATCTAATATGGTTATGAAATCGAGTTTTATCATGAAAACGTACCTTCATGTATGCTGCTTCAGACTCAGCAATTGTGCGATCGTATTCACTCCGCGTGGCTAACTTTTTCTGCAAACCATCGTTAACATGGGCTAGTTTGTCACTTAGGACGTTTATTTCACGCTGCAATTTAGCCCGTTCAGTTTCATCTTGTTGGATTTGCTTTTGAAGTTCTTCCCGACGTTTACACAGCTCTTCAAAACCTAGAAATATGTTGAAATGAAGCAGAGGCCCACATTTGACTAATTCATTATTGTAATTTTGTAAAGCCGCCCCCTGATGAGACATCTTGTTTCCGAAGGCGAGGCGGTAACAGTCATGACGACGAACGTTATTGATAGATTTAAACAAACAAGGGTCAGGTTAGTTCGGGTTGCACAAGATCGATAATGGCCACGGCCAATTGAGGGTCCAGATACCTTCTGGCAGTATGCTGGAAAAGCGCAGCAATCGGTCCGGGAATCCAGAGCTTAGATCAGGTCAAGTTTCACTGGACGGTAAAGGCTTTCGATTACCGAGCGTCCAGATTCTTACTCCAGCCGGAACCACGTTCTTCCGGAGCTTCGAATTCCTGTTGACCGTTAGACTTTAGCCTATTTTTTCGTCCGAACAGTTTCCTTTATTGGGTCCGTATCTATAAAGGGACGGTATTCGATATTAGGTAGCATGGAACAGCTTTGGGTTATCGTGTAGTGGAAAAGATACTACATATACGAATAATAATGAAATAAACGGTACAAGGAACGGACTCACAGAAGGATTGTCCGCTGGTCNAGGTGTAGAGGAGCTGAAATGGGTGACTGCGACAGTTAACGGACCGCTTGACGATAACTGATAACGCTTGCTTAATTCCTCAGCAACACTTGGAGAACACGTGCGTATTTACGAACAGATTTTTGTCTTGTCTATTGCAGCGCTAACCCAAATCTGTGAATACTTGACAAAAGTAATGTCACCTATCCATGACCTAACCTGTACCCTAATTC